AGCTCGAATCCCGTCTGTGTCCATATTAAAAAGAAACAATAGCAGTCCGACGCTCAATCCGAAGAGGACAGAGTTACCTCATCGGTTAGCAGCCATCCAAGCCACGAATTTTTGCGTATCGTGAGAGTTTAAAAACACTTCTTGTTGTTAATAGGGATGAAATGCACTGAAGTACAATGAAGACGACGCCCTCACGGTTAACCTCATTCCGCCTTCCCTATATCGGATTTTGGTTCCCTGTCCTTCATAATAGGAAATCTATCATAACTTCGGGCTCAAGTGGAATCGCGTCAGGAGAAAAAGGATCATCCCCAGTCCTGCCTTCTTCGTTGGACTTAAAGGGTTCATAATTAAGTAGGGAACATATTTAAAACTTTTCTTTTCTTTGCCTATTTATAGCCACCCTAACTGCACCTCCAACATGTTGTATAATCGGATTTCCTATGTCCTAAATGTGCACGAATTTACTACAACATGCTCCGTCTAACAACCGTTCACAGAGAGTACACTAACAAGCAATAGTATATGTTAAAAGAATAAAAAAAAATTTACTTACATCCACAGCTTGCTGATGACTAGGAAAGTCGCCTGCCTTAACGTTTAAATTGTCGGGGCCGCTGTAACAGAGAATTTCATTGTTGATTTGATTCCATGCTACGCTGGCGGCCTCCGGTTCCTTCAAGAAAAAGAAGGCGAGGTTTGATTTTTTAACCACAGCAGTTGCAAAACAGGATGCAGTATGTTCTGTTCCGTTCGGAAATCGGGTCAAATGCGCGAGTGCCAGGCCAAAGATAGCGGCTGGTAGAATTTGAACCGGTAGCCAAATCGATTATGAGGTTTAGCCTAGCGGTGAAATTGAGCAAGATCGAATCTCCGATCATGCCAATCTAGGCCTGGAAACTGGTTGTCTGACGACAGATGATAAGTTCGAAATGTCTCTGGCAATAGACAGAGTAGGACACAGACAAAAACCAAAATAAGTTATTATATTTTGTCTACTTATTAAATTTAGGTAGCTTGGGATGCATTATTAAACATCTTTCACAGGCCCACTACCATTATAAAGGCTTTTCACAATAGTTTAGGAGGATACAATAAGATAAGACACGAAAATAAGTGCCCGTCTCCAAGACACAGCAATAAGCAATTGAAAAAAATTCAGTATATGCCATACACATAGTTTGCCAAGGCGTTTAGTCAACGCAATCGGAGGTTTCACTTAATGCATTATTCTGGGTATTTGTTTCTTCCGCCAAAATATGAATGTATTAAAAACAGCCCGCTGGGTTAGTAACTCTGGGCCTTTCGAGCTGTAGACGTACCCGAAAGAGGATCTCCTTTGTGCGTAAGGAGTGCACACTGAGGGTGTTGCTTTCGTCGATGACTGCCAGTTTATCCCGATTGCAACTCAAATCCAGGCATTTGACGGCGCAACCAACACGAATCAAGGGGACAGGAAACACACTGTTCAAGGTGATTTTTACAGTCTGAAGAGGACCGAATCGGATTTTGCGATTAATTTAAATCAACATGATATAATTGCCTACATGGTTTGCAAAGAAAGTTGTAATAGAGGCAAAGCAAAATAGAGGACAGTTCGAAGCTAGAAACAAATGGAAGCAATGCAAAATAAGCTATTTGAAGCTCGCTACGTTACTTTGAGAAACCACCAGCGTTAGAGGATCGGTTAAATTTGTATCTGACCAACCTAGTAATTTCAATTATGTATAACTACTTTAATGTTACAGTAGTTTGTTTTATTTTACTTGACCGCTCTCCATGCCCACGATGAGGCTCTCTCGCGTTGGTGGACCACCCAGCTGACGGATGTAGCGGACCGGAGAATCCAAGACCCATTCTCTCTCCTTCTGGCCCTGAAAGGAAAATTAAGTTTTTTCAAGGATCCAAACGTTCTTCTGAATGTGAACTGTCGACTAACCGAACTTTTGTGTCCTATGTATGTAGGTACAGGAATTTTTAGTTAAAAGTAGAATTCGCTTCAAAGTTTAATTGGTGGAAATTGAGATAACTTGCCTGCAAATTGATGCAAGTGACTCGGCATTCTTGGCATAAGACGATGTGATGCGCTGTAACGACTAACAGCTGACATTCAAAATTTTTCAGTAGCTTGTGCTGAATGCGATAGTGCATGTCCAGCGCATCATCAACGGCGGAGTCATAGACGAGAACTCGATCAGATAGCTGGATCTAATGACAAGGCAGACGTATGAAAGCTGTTCGAAGGAGCCTACCGCGAGACGATTCTTAAAAACGGCGATCTTCTTCACGACGTCTCGACATTTAATTCGGGCTATAAGAAAAGCGTACTATATCTGATTAAAGTAGTCAAGACATCGTTTGAAAATAGTTGAGAATGTGCTCCAGTGCAAACTTTGGATACAATACTTATTAACACTTCAGTCCTGCCTCATGGAAAACTGGGGATTTACTTGCCAATGAGGGGCGTGAACCAAACCAACAAAACTAATTTTATTTAAATGACACAACTAAAGGTGTCGTTTCATTTTTATAACTCAGTGGCCCGGTCTGTGAAAGTAAGAATAGTATGTAGGTAGCATACCTTTTTGCTCCGTTAAGAGATGTTGAATGACCACGTCCGAAATGGATTCTCTGAAGGCGTACCGATCACGGTAAAGACTGTGGACGACAGGTATTGAATACTGAATGGTCCGAATCGTGCCATCTTGGCATGCAAGCGCCTTAAAGTAGATTTGCAAATTTTGACTTTTAACCCAATATAAGTGAAGTATTCCAAGGTTAACAACTAATTTTTCAACGAAATATACGAACCTATGTTGTGTTACAAAATAACTTCAATTCACTGCACTTATTCCACAGCAATTGACGCAATATCTAGGATAGGACTTGTTTGCTAAAGACAAACAACACCCGAAATAAGAAGATTCAGATGAACTTAATCTAAATGCAACCTCTTAAATTATACAAATACGAGTACCCTCAGGGTCACCGGTGTTGGTGGGCGTTAATAAAACTCGTAATAGTAAGGTGATTATGTAGAGATGTCAAATCTGATCGTAGGCAAGTGTTGTTCTATTATAAAATAAAAGACAATAATAAAAGACAATAAAAATAATATAAAAGAAATATTTTTCTAAAAACTTACGATTTTCTTTTCTTTCGGATGTTGTTTACAACTAAGAATCCACGAATTCTCCTCAGTGAGGGGACCAATTTGACAACCTTCATAACTGTAGAGGGTAAGTTTCTTGTTTTGACCTCCGATCACGAGGAATTCAAGGGATTCACCAATCCAACTCATGCAGCAGGGGATATATCCTAGGAAACGGTCCTTCCCACACTAAAATTGGAGTATTATCACAGTAATTTTCCTATATTTATTTGAAAATGCAGATTAACAAAACGTGGAAAAACACGCAAAAGAAACTTCCAAAAAGTTACGTTACCTTAGTACCGATTGGACCCTTAGCGGCCTAGATCATATTTACTTCACCGAAAACGGATTTACCTTTTGTATTAAGGAGAGTTTGTTCGAATTTGTGCCATCCGGTTGGACAACCTTAATGAAAAGTAGTACGTCAGAAGTCGGCAAAAAGAGATGCAGATTTGGAAATAGTGGAACTAGAATTGCAGCAGCTGCAAAACACACTCCACGAAAACGGTTATCCAGAAAGGTTCATCCTTCGGAACATCAGGGAGCGTGTCACAAAGGTCGCAGTTGCAATGGCGGAAAAGAAAGATCTATCCATAAGACTGTCTTTTATGAGAGACGCAGCAAGTGAACTGGCAAGAAAATGCCTGAAGACAGCAGTCACTAGTGGCTTTCCGGGGGCAAACTTACGCGTATTCTTCACTAAATCTCCATTTTTAAGAATGAGAGATAAAGACAGACTACATGTACATGTACATGTATTCTTTCACCTGTCCT